TCTCCCTAGCGGTGGGTCATTACTAAGACTTGTATCACTAAACTATTATTATATAAAAAAATTACAATCTAAAAAATATTTTATGGCTTTAAATAACCTGCAAAAGTCTGATTCATTTTCTGCACTTATCAATCGGTGAAAAATGGTTTCTTTTCTGGAAATGACTTCATAAATTATTCGGGTTTTATTTTAAGAAATTCTTACCTTTTACTGCTTAATTATTTCAACAAAATTTACATTTTATATCATATATATATAATAGCACAGATTGTTAATTCCTTACAAAATACATAAATTAACTGGAGTTTGAAATCTTCAAAGGTGAGTAGATTTTTATTAAAAAATAAAACCACGATAATTAATCGGTTCAAAAGACTTATCTCTCTGGCTTCAAGATTTAGAAATAGCTCATCTGTGGATCCATTGCTAGGTCAGCTGCTAAAAAAGTTGGTTCACTGTCGTGCTAGACAATTTTTCTCTCCAGAATCTATTTTACATATCTATAAGTCTACCATTTGTCCATGCTTATTGCTGCCATATATGGTTTGGTATTCCTGCTATATATCTAGAGATTCTTGATAAAATCTGAAGAATCAGCAATATCATTGGTCCTGATCTGGCATCTCTATTTCAGTCACTTTCTCACCACTCTAAAGTTGCCTCCTAGTGCCTTTTTTATTAATACTTTCATGGTAATTGTTTGGGTGAGGTCTTCACTATGGTACTTATTTGAGTTGGCTAGATATGACCATAAGTTCTGTGCTTACAGTTTCTTTTTTCGCATATGGACAACTATTCTGGTTCCATGCTTTCCAGCCAACTTTAATTTCAAAAATTTAAATGCAATGTCAATTGCTATCTACTGTCTGCTTAATTCTTCTTCTTCTGTACTCACTCTTTAGTAATGTTTCTGTTCTTTAATTCTTCCACACCCATTAATTCCTTGTGCCTTAGTAGCTTTACTGTTTTTCTTGGGTTGAAAGTTTACTCCAAGCAAAGCAGTAAAGCCACTAAGACTTATCTTTTCAAATTTAAGTATTGTAGATTTACCACTCCTCAAGTTTAGATAAATCTATTCATCTGAATAAAACTTTTCTCTTTTTCTTTCTTTTTCTTTTTCTTTCTCTTTCTTTTTCTTTTTCTTTCTTTTTCTTTTTCTTTTTTTTTCTTTCTTTTTCTCTTTCTTTTTCTTTCTTTTTCTTTCTCTTTCTCTTTCTCTTTCTCTTTCTCTTTCTTTCTCTTTCTCTTTCTTTTCTTTTCTTTTTTTTCTTTCTCTTTCTTTTCTTTCTCTTTCTTTTCTTTCTCTTTTTTCTTTCTCTTTCTTTTTTCTTTTCTTTTCTTTCTTTCTCTTTTTTTTCTTTCTTTTTCTTTTCTTTCTCTTTTTTTCTTTTTCTTTCTTTTTCTTTTCTTTCTTTTTCTTTCTTTTCTTTTTTTCTTTCTCTTTCTTTCTCTTTTCTTTCTTTTCTCTTTTCTTTCTTTTTCTTTCTCTTTCTTTCTCTTTCTCTCTTTCTTTCTCTTTCTCTCTTTCTTTCTCTTTCTCTCTTTCTTTTCTCTTTCTTTTCTCTTTCTTTCTTTTTCTTTCTCTTTCTTTTTCTTTCTTTAAGTAATTAAAAAAAAATGATTTATTCTAATGAATAGATGTATCTGACCCTGAGGAGTGGTATGTCTACAAAACTTAAATTTGAAAAGATAAGTCTTTTTGTACTTTTCTTTTACACACACATTTCTAAAAGGAATAACAATGAAAAATATTTGTTCATTCCTGATTCATTTTTTTTCTCTTGTATATGAAACTAATACTTGTTTGTATAACAAATAAAAACCTGGATGATTTGAATAAGATTGGCAGGAACGGAATGAGAGGATACAAGCAAAAGGTGAAAGAAGAGTAGTCTTTAGTAATCGTCGGCATCCATGGAATTTTCACGGGTCTAGCAAATCCTTTTTAGTAACAATCATCTTTTCTCATTCAAAACCAGACTAGTTACATTCCATCACCACCAACTTACCAGACCCCAAACTACCACCAGTCATGATAACCAGATGTCCCTTCGAGGAGGAAGGTGCCTTGAGAGAATATTAGGTCTCAAACTCACACCTGACCTCAAGTTGAACTCATATGATCCATTGCTAAAGATATAGATAAAATTTTACCACTCAAGTAAGTATCTGATTTCTTATACTATCCTCTATCACTTTTAAAATCCAGATCAGGCCAAAAATAGAGTACTGTTGCCATATTTGGGTGCGAGCTTCCGGATCCTCACTTTCCAGTCTTGGCCAAATTCAAAAACGTCTCCAAATGCTTGTTGGAGAAGAATTATTTTCCACCCTCCAACCTCTCTCTTACAGGTGGAATGCGGTGAGTCTCTCACTGCTTTATTGTTACTACCATGGAAATTGCTCAGATGAACTACATTCCTTGGTTGCACCAGATCTAACCTTCATAACTAGGACCTGCCATACCACTAACATAATTCCAATGGTGAGAAATAAGTTTCACTCAAACAGCAGCCCTGTGGAACAGAACCTCAAGAGGATGTTTCCCCCTGATCACTACAATTTTGACCTGTTCAAGTCTAGAGTTAACCATTGTCTTTCCCTCCTATCTATATAAACTACCCCTTAATGTAACTCTGTATCTCGAGTGGTACCCAGGCCTAGTACAGAGTGGACCTTACTGTTAAAAGATAAAAGAAAAAAAAAGGGTGTTAGTTTAGCAGAGAAGGTTCAAATCCCATTAAAAATAGTAGCTGAATATTTTTGTATAAATAAAACTAACCTTCATTTCCAGTTTGTAAAATCCCCTTTTTGCATTTTGCCTGAATTTCTAAGATGATTTGTTGCCATTGTTAAATTAACTATTCAGACTAACATCTGACTCTTGGTTTCTATCAATACATTTTTGCTTGGGGGTACACCAGCTTTCCTCAAGAATTTATTCTTTTGAATTTTTCTTTCTCTTTTCAATTACTTCTTTGTCGAGGACCAAAGTTCCATCCGGTACAGTAAACTTTTATAGATGACTTTGTTATATACACCTGAAGAAAGTTCAAGAATGATCTAGCTGAAATATCAAAACAAATTCTTCTTCTTATTTTTTATTCTTCTTCTTATTCTTATTCTTCTTATTTTTCTTTTTTCTTCTTATTTTTCTTCTTCTTATTTTTTTCTTCTTCTTCTTATTTTTTCTTCTTCTTCTTATTTTCTTCTTCTTCTTATTTTTCTTTTATTATTTTTTTTCTTATTATTTTTTTCTTATTATTTTCTTATTATTTTCTTATTTTTTTATTATTATTATTTTTCTTCTTATTATTTTTCTTCTTATTTTTTCTTATTTTCTTCTTATTATTTTTCTTCTTTTTTCTTTTTCTTCTTCTTCTTTTTCTTTTCTTCTTCTTATTTTTTTTTTTCTTCTTCTTTTTTTTTATTTTTCTTCTTATTATTTTTCTTATTTTTTTCTTTATTTTTCTTATTTTTTTTCTTCTTCTTATTTTCTTATTTTTCTTTATATTTTTTCTTCTTCTTATTTTTCTTATTTTCTTCTTATTTTTTCTTCTTATTTTTCTTACTTTTTTTCTTATTTTCTTATTTTTTCTTATTTTTCTTCATTATTTTTCTTATTTTTTTCTTATTTTTCTTCTTCTTTTTTTTTTCTTATTTTTATTTTTTTCTTCTTCTTTTTTTTTCTTTTTTTCTTTTTCTTATTTTATTTTTTTCTTATTTTTTTTCTTATTTTTCTTCTTCTTATTTTTCTTATTTTTCTTCTTCTTATTTTTCTTATTTTTCTTCTTCTTATTTTTCTTATTTTTCTTCTTCTTATTTTTCTTATTTTTCTTCTTATTATTTTTCTTCTTATTTTTCTTATTTTTTTTCTTCTTATTTTTATATTTTCTTCTTCTTTTTTTCTTATTTTTCTTATTTTTCTTCTTATTTTTCTTATTTTTCTTATTTTTCTTCTTATTTTTCTTCTTCTTCTTTTTCTTATTTTTCTTCTTCTTCTTTTTCTTCTTCTTTTTCTTCTTTTTCTTCTTCTTTTCTTCTTTTTTCTTTTTCTTTTCTTTTTCTTTTTCTTCTTTTTTCTTTTATTCTTCTTCTTTTTCTTTTACTTCTTCTTCTTCTTTTTCTTTTTCTTCTTCTTCTTCTTCTTCTTTTTCTTCTTCTTATTATTATTATTATAATAAGGTGGATGAGACATAGAAGTGATTCATTTTTATTGACTATGAAGAAATCCCAGCATGCATCTGTCTGTTTTGCCTATAAATTTGCGGAAGGGATGTTGTTAATGATCATTCCAAGTGGATTGAAAGCAAGTTACAAATTCTAAAAAGTGTATATCTTATACATGACATATAACTGTTTTATTTTTATTTATTTATTTTAAATCATTTCATCCCAAGCAAGGCAATAAAGCTACTGTAGGGATACAGAAGGTAATTATCTCCCTTTGGTGGAGATAAATCATGTGACAGTTACTTAATGACATTGCTCTATCGTAACAGATTTAATGTTTTGTATAGAGCTTAGAAAAATTTTGCAATGTGAGATAGGCAAGAAGTAAGACATGTAGCAACATCAGCACAACAAAGGGCACTCCTTTAAAAGCAAGGAAGGGCAAAAATATTTTAAGTCAAGTGATAGCAATTGCTGTATGAGTCATAGAATTTTTGAATCAAGCTCAGGCAACGCCGGGCCATGCTGCTAGTATGACAATAAAGATGAGTACAACAGTCTGAACATTATAAATAGTGCAAATAGGATCACAGGGCTAACAAAATAGTCATTCTCTGAGAGGATCAGATTAAAAAAAAATTAAGAATCTTCAAACCTTATCTTTAGTACACTTCCTCCCAACTTTTATTTTGTGCTATCCTGCTTGTTTGATAGATTAATTACAAAATAATTTGATAGAAAACAATTTCCACTTAACAAGTCAGGCCTGGGATATTTTGTGTGGCATATCAATGAAATATCTCATCAACTTCTTCAGGGCACTCATTTTATTTGCAACCTTCCTCCTCATTATTAATAAATTGTCTTCAAACTGTGTTAAATTAAGAAGATCCAGGATAAAGAAATTCCTTGGCAGTGATCTCATCAACTGCTCTAGAACAAAATAGTTTAGCTAATCTCATAGCTTAGCATCACAAATTATCATAATTTGTTTCAGGGCATTCTATTACAGCAAGCAAATTTTATTTTTTTTTTAAAAAAAGTAAACAAATAACTTCAATTCTTTTTTTTTTGTTGTTCTCTGTCTCTTTTCTTTCTTTTTCTCTTTCTTTTCTTTCCTTTCTCTTTCTTTTCCTCTTTCTTTTCTTTCTTTTCTCTTTTTTTTTCTTTCTTTTTTTCTTTTCTTTTCTCTTTCTTTTCTCTTTTCTCTCTTTTCTCTTTCTTTTCTCTTTTCTCTTTTTCTTTTCTCTTTCTTTTCTCTTTTCTCTTTTTCTTTTCTCTTTCTCTTTCTTTTCTCTCTCTTTCTTTTTCTTTTTTTCTTTTTCTTTTTTTCTCTTTCTTCTCTTTTTTTCTCTTTTTTTTCTCTCTTTCTTTTCTCTCTCTTTCTTTTCTCTTTCTTTCTTTTCTCTCTCTTTCTTTTCTCTCTCTCTTACTTTCTTTTCTCTTTCTTTCTTTTCACTACTTTTTTAATTCACTAAACAAGCTAAAAGCCAAAAATCATATTCTCACCTATATGAAAAATTAAATACATCTTCCAGTTCTCTGGTCAGTGGAGTAATGAAAAATCTATTTCAGAACCTGAGTAAAATTCAAATAACATTGGGAGTGAAGAATTAGGCACTTTGCTCATTGATGTAAGTTGCTTTTTTCATTGCTATATTGTTTTAGATAAAACTTTCTACAAATGCTGTTGCACAAACAACTGCTATGTTACCAGCCAAGTCTGTATCATAAAATGACCCCAGGGTCAGGTATGGTTTGGGCTTGAAGTAACATTGTAATTACCCATAAGTATGGACTGTATTTACACACTTGTTTCTGTCACATCATGGGAATGACAGGTTTTGTAAATGCTATTTTCCTTAAACGTTGGGTTACCAATGTAAATGGTGTTTTGTTGAAAATTACCTTGTATTTGTTGATTTTAATATATATTTTATCGTTGAAACACAAATTGATTTTCCATTGTTTTTCCTTGATTTAAAAAAATGTATAAATGTTAAATGCTCTTCAACACGCAGCCACATTAATCTTTTCAACAAAACACCATTTACATTAGTAAATGCTTGGAGTGAGTAGAATGAATAGTCTGTGTAGACGCGTGTGAGTAGTTGAGTTCTACTGTCTTCAACTCTACTGTTTAATTTGGGGATGAATCCGGACTTATATTTACTACCGATAGGCTCCCAGCACGAATGCGGGATAAATTTAGAAAGAACATGAAAAATATCTGATTGGATGAAAAATTAACCAATCAGTGATTTAATAACAAAAGCATGTTTGTGAATTAATGGTAGGAAAAATTCAGTGTGGTGAATGCAATCAGTAAATTGTCCTGTGATATTTAGTAATTATTATTTGACCAATCACAGTTGAGAAAAATGTAGGCGTGGCAAACATAGTAATAATCCCTACAGTTTAAATGCAACCCCATTATCCTTTGTTTTCATAACTTTTTAATCAACACCAAGATGGTCACTGTAGTTTGGGCGGAGATGCCATCAAAATCTAGGCTTTTTTTCTTAGTTTCCTGTTCATCTTAACCGAGTCAGGCACATGCTGAAAAGAGCTTCATTTTGGAATTCTGGTTGGATGATTGTTTTTTCACAGCTTATCAACCCATTGCAGGTTTGGTTTGTTTTGTGGCATATCAACACCTCAATGGGCCATTTAATGCTGACAACTTTTTTTTTTTTTTTTTTTCCTGGTAATATTTTTGTTTTATCAAAAATCTATTTTTGGTAATATATTTTTACTCAAAAATGTATAGCTAATAATATTATTTAAAAAAAATGTATTACTGGTAATTTTTTTTTTTTTTTCAAAAACGTATTGCTGGTAATAATTTTTTTTCTTCAAAAATTTATTTCTGGTAATAATTTTAGTATTTCTGGTATTAAAACCTATTTTTATACTTTCATAATGCTTTTTACCTCAGTTTCAGGGTTAACTATTTGCCCATAGCTGGGACCCTAACAGGTGCTACCACCCCAGGTCAGGGTGGACCTGGGAACACCAGCAATTAAGAGGAGGTTCCATGCTCCTCAAAGCCTCCTGATCAGAAGCCTTGCTGTTGGATGCAGTTTATCGTCATACCCAGGACAGCAACCCATTGCAGGATATTTACAGCTGGAAAATACTTTTAGATTGTAAGAATTTTTTTTTCTTGGATAATTGTTTAGTGATAGAAGTCTTACTATCTGGGGGCGCTATGGATTAAATAACTAGGAGAAGAGGTGAATTCAGACCTTTCTCAAAGGTATATACTTTAGAAAAGTCATGAAACCTTCTCTTCCTCCTCCAGCTCTAACTGGGGTATGTAGACTGGGAGAAAGACAATTCTGAATTAAAAACTAATAAAAAAGCATTTAAAAAAAATACAGCTGTAGAGAGCCATGTTATCTTTGTCCAAAAGGAACAGGGAATTTTTTTAAAAAGTCATAAATGGATGCTAAAACTGCAGACTTAAATGTCAACTTAATTCTACCAGTTTCCATGTTGTGAATACAAAGGGAGACAACTTATATTATAATTAACTGTAAGTTGTCTTCCCATGGTTCACTTAAAATCCAAGCAAGAACACTTGGAGCAATGATTCCAATCGCGCTGCCTCTTACGTGTGCTCCAAAAAAAAAAAAAAAAACACCAGGCAGAGGTTTCACACTAAATAACCTGCACAAATAGATGAATAGAAACATTGAAATAAAGTAAGTTAATATTTGTGTGTGTATTTTTTTAAATCTATGGTTTTTATTTCATGATATGTGAACCTATTTACGCACGAATATATACATACAAACACAAAATCACATGTACAATGCCAAACGATCATTGGCTAATAAATCACTAAAACATTTTCTACAGGCAATTTACAAATTGCAGTAATGCAACAATTGCTTTATTTTTTAAGTAGTCAAATTTGTGCACTTTTGGGAGAAGTGGCTCACAGAAGCTTCCTTAAGTCTCCCCAAAGATCACTCGCTGATTGATTGATATCAACTAATCAGATTGTTTGCATGTGAAGAATATTTTTTCCTGCACAATGAATCGGAGCCTATAGTCACTTATTTAAGCCAAGATTTTTCTCATATCAATTAGTGAGACCTCAACTGCTAAACGAATCTACAACAGTTGGAACTCCAGTTGTAATCACACGGCAACCTTCTCGCTCACACACACCCACATGCTGATGATAATTTGTACACCTTCACTAAAAACCTCTTTTGACACAACAATACTTTTCAACTGTAATATCACAAGAACAATCATATCATGAAACACTCATGAACATTTATCCAGTGAACTTAAAACCAAATAATTATCTCTCACTGAACTCTTAAATTGCAAACCAAGGGAGGCAACCCTTGATTAATTCAACCTTTCTTACTTAAATGCATGTTTTCTTTCACATCGTTGTTTGATATTGTATATCTTGTTAATATACATATATTTTATGTGCAACAATGTCTTGTGGTGATTCTTCTTGCATGAGTCGTGTTTTCTTATCAAAGTTAAATTAATGTGGTGAAGTACCCCACAATAAAATTGAAATGTATACCCTTTGAAGTTTTACTAAGTGTGCCATGATATTTTCATTTGCTCCGAGGTGTGCCTTTGCTTAAAGAGGTCGAGAAATACTGATTTGGAGTAAACAGTATTGCTGGAGGAAAATCCTAAACTCATGATGCTTTTGTATCTTACAGTTTTTATTTATTTATTTTTTTAAAGAATATAACCTGCATTAGTTACAAACTCAGAAGGAAACCTGCAACAAATCCTACATAAGACAATAAAAGAAAGCAGAAAGAAAGGACTAACTGTAAGAAGACGGTGCATGGTCATTAATAAGAAAAACAGCCCAAGTGGCTAGCTATATTTCTGAGATGAGGTATTATGTACAGTATTTACATTAGTCGGACTATTGTCCTCATCTTTGTCGCCATATTTGTCACAACGTTTCGGCCGTTGTACGCTCCAGCCTTCTTCAGGTGGTTGGAATTTCAAACTGAACCCTTTCGTCATAGCCCAAGTAGCTATGACGAAAAACTACATCCAAGTCCTGGGTAAGACCATAAGCTACATCCAACGGTAAACCTCTGATCAGGAGGTTTTGAGGAGCATGGAACTACCACTTAATTGCTGTTGTTCCCAGGTCCAACCTGACAAAGAGTGGTAGTACCTGTTAGGGTCCTAGCTATGGGTGAATAGTTAACACCTCAAAAGGGGTCAAAACATTATGAAAGTATAAAAATAGGTTTTAATACCAGCAATACTTTCTTTTTGAAAAATTATTACCAGAAATACATTTTTGAAGAAAAAATTATTCCCTGCAATACATTATTACTAGCAGTACTTTTTTTAAAAAGAAAAATATTACCAGCAATTCATTTTTGGGAAAAAATATTACCAACAATACATTTTTGAAAAAAAAATTGTTGCCAGCAATAAAAAAAAATCTTGTTGGCATTAAATAACCAATTTAGGTTTATAAGCCATAAAACAAACCAACCCAAGTGTGAACAACAGATTGGTTGCATCAAAATGCAGAACTTCAACTATCCATTGATGGTTGTAGTAGTACAGTAACAAGCCATCGTTACTGATGGCTTGAATGCACTGGTGGTGTTCAGTCTGTTAATCGTACCTGATTATGTACTCCAAGGCCCGCTCAGTATAGTTGCAGTATAAACCACAGGTTCGCTCTGTGGGTGTTGAGCAAACAAATGTGCCTGAGCAGGTGTCTGCAACAGGATCTGGGTAGCTGCTCTAGTAGACAGATGCACTCAGTAAATGAGAGTAGGTGATATTTATAATTTCAAATATCTCCTTTCTTTTAAAAAAAAAAAAGGCTCCATTTTTCAAATAAGCATATTTATATATGGCCATGAAAATTTAAAATTAAATAAAAACAGATAATTAAAAAACAACAATAATAACATTAATTCACGTTCACTCAACAACTTGCCAAAAATTTACATTGATTAGTGTCTTCCATAGTTTTCCTTTCTTTAATGCTGAGAGATTTTTTTTTTTTTTAATAGAGAATTTTCTAATTCAAATTTAAAAGGAGGACATTATTTTTTCTAAATGTTACTTTGTCTTTTTTTTTTTGGTGGGAGTTGCATTTATAAATATAGTTTCCTACATAAAATTTCTACATTTGCCTTGATAAAGTTTCTCAAAAAAGGAAACCCATCAGTATAAAAGGTTTACTTACTGTCATTTTGGCAATGTTTGAAGTGCGAAAAGGATGGTTTTTCTTCTGACATCACTATTACTTTATCGACAATGTTTATTATTTTAAAAAGCTATTTATTTATTTGTGAGATTGTTTATTTAAAAGATTAATTTTATATTTATAAGATTATAAAAATATGGGAACCAAGTACAATGTGATATTTATTATTTATTTATTATTTTATGAAGAAATAAATATGAAAATGAAGTTTTTTGTATCCATAAATTTATAA